GAAGACTGTAGTGGCAGAGGTGAACGGCCTCATGATCAGACGGTGCAGTTGTTGCTCGGCCCGAGGACAGCGCAGCGAAGCCTCTGCCGGATAGGAAGAACGATCGAACAGAATCGTGTATAGGGTAAACATGCTGAAGTCCGAGCGACTGCTGCGCTTTGCTCTCGTTGTCCACCGGTCTTGCCTCGAGGAGACCTCGCGTCCGGGAGCAAAGCCATTGGTAAAACTGCGAAGGCGTGTCGAATTGCTTCCCTGTCTTTTGTAGTTCTTGCATCGACCAAGGCAACCCGACATCCAATGCAGTCTCTGGGTCGCAACAGAGGAGAAAACGCGTACGGCCCACTACAACACTCGCGGTCAGTCATTGCCTTCTTAAGCGCGCTTTGTCAGGGTCTCGGGACAACGTGGAACTTCTAGGGATAGTCCTGGCCCGGAAGGGAGCCTATAACCCCCTGAGTGGTATCAAAACAAGAAGGAATGATGCTGGGATTTGCTTACAACGAACTGCCATCTGTAAATCATTGAGCATCATAGGCTCTGGCGACAGCATGACCCACCGCATAATAGTCGTAGCATCCGCCATTTCCTTGGGTGGGAGGGTTCCTACGGTCATTTCATATAGCCCGTACAGATCTGTGGGAAGTCCTCCTAGGATCTCGTCCACGAGGTCCTGCGCTCCGCCGCCATCAATGGCTTCGTTGAGAAGGTTCGTCGCAAGCTGCGCCCATAAGAAACTACCCCCGGACTTCTCGGCGATCTTCTTCACAACAACAGACCCTCCTCCCAACTCACCTTCAGGCGGGACTGTACTAACCGTACAATATCTTCGACGTTGTGGTTTTCGAGTTCTAACTGGGTTATATTCGCCGGAACATGGCCGCTAATTGGTCGGCTAGCTAGGCACACGCTAAAACTTGAGTTCCGTGCCATTTGGCATAGGCAATACAGGAGCTCCCGGATATAAGCATCGTCGCAACTATCTTCAGCATCGACCAAGATAAACGTCCTTCTTGCTAACGTCCTGGGTCTGTTGATAATGTAATCATCGAGAAAGAACCGAGTTAAGTCGGCATCATTGATGCTATCATCGCACAAGGTGGAAAGTCGTTGGCGAAGATTTGGGTCTTGTGCAAAGAGTTGAGAGAGAATACAACGGATAGCCGTGACGGGCCGTATATTGCCCAGCTTCGGCTCCGACACAGAGACTTGGTCGGAACCCCGGCCCTCCGCGGTACAGTATATAATGGACGTTGTAGCAGATTTCCATTGCTTTTGCATTTGGCACCTGACGTGTCGTAACTGCGTCGACTTTCCCGAGCCTAGCGCACCTGTCAGCCAGAGTATGTGTTCATTGCTGCCTCCTCGGCGGCGATACCAATCGCAAAATTCCCCTGTGCTGCATATTCCCCTGCATGTCCCCAGGGGACATCCTGTGGTTGATATCTGAGAGCCGTGGACTCGGTGATTATTAAGTCGCCGCAAGCAGTCTTGTACTGATTAGTTTGCGTATAGGGAACGGGGGCAGCATCTTTGCGTACTTATTTCTTCAACGCTGAGCCCTTGACGCTATCATCCCTTATCAGCCATGTGCTCCAACAGATATTCGATGGAGTCGTGCTACCTTGGACTTTTCATCCTTCACGATACTTTGAAGGACCCTGGACAGTGATTTGAAACCGGTATCATTTGCCGACTTAAACTGACACATTGTCCGGTGGTCCGCAGCTAAGCTCTCCGCATCTTCTTTCACGTCACCAAGCTTGCTCGACTCAGCCCGGCTATTCTACGCCGATAGGTGAGCTCATTACCAACGGACACTGGAAATATGGTGAGGCCCACGATGAACTTATTTGTGTCGCTCTGTCTTTCTTGATACGTCTTAACTGTAAAGTTGAAGTAGTGCCACAACCGAACAAATGACTCCTGGGCTTCTCCCCACCTAGGATTATTAACACCGCACAAAGCAGAGAGTACCGAGCTCTCTGTTTTAATGCTTACGGACGCCTCCGCCATGGACACAGCCGTGTCTACCAGCGGCACTTGCTCCACAGCCCGGTGCGGGCAACCGAAAAAAATGGTCGCCGCCGTAGAGCTTAGAATGTCCTGTTCACTTTCCGTGCTGCTAGACTCGGCCTCGCGCAGCACCTATACTAATTATCAGTATTTCTGCATGCAATGCTGTATGTGTAAACCCACCTCCTTGACAATGACGCCTCCAAGGGAATGCGCAATGAAAATTAACGGCCTTTGTTGCACACCACCACCATGTCGAAGGTCTCCAAGCTGTTGGAGGAGGTCATTCACGTGAGCGAAGAGGTCGGGCTGGGCAGCGACCGGCATATTCCCACTATGAAGGGTGTGGTACCCCCAAGTGATGATACGGGCCTCCGGACATGTCACAGGCAATAAGTCCCGAGGCCAGTACACTCGAGAAGGCGCATTCAGCCCGAAATGCCATAAATTCTTCTGCGTGGCCGCGCCCCCTGCAGTCGATCGCTCTGTCTTGTCCGAAGACCTCGTTTTTTTGAGTAAGTTTTTCACCGGCTTGTCTCGCGCGGGCGGAATGGCCTTCGCTCGAGGATTAGGTGCTATCCGGTCATCGGACTGCCAACTTCTCATCGGGTGTCCTCCAAACCCGTGGACGAGGACAATGCTGAAAAGGGACCATAAGTTCGTGAGTCGGTGAAAGTGTCTCGAAACGAAAAGAGAAATACTTACTCGACAAGCGTGTTGTCGCTCTTTTCCGGCTCGTAGAGGATACGAAGACCGACCGAGGGGATCCTGTCCTGAAGTGGACTCATCGCGGCGAATCATGGATGATCCCCCTTCCTCTGAACCTCATCTATCTCTGGTACTATCGGACGTGCATGAATGCAATGCCACAATAAATGTTAATGACAATGTCAAAGTAACCCGGGGCACTCCCAACGTTGGTTATATTCGACCAGCATTAGGCAGCCAGTGCCTGAACAGAGCTGAACTGATCTAGTGTGTGGTATTGTTGGCGGTGGGGGCAGGGTTGTATGGCATGCTGATACATAGTAGATGCTGCTCCAAACAACGAAAACAGAGCGAACTGTTCGCCTCATTCACTTCCTCGTCCAGCTCTTTCGCCGGCCCCCAGCAAGAAGTCCGTGCCGTGTCACCATAGCCGATACGGCTGATTTTGCGGCCCGCGCGCAATAAGGATAAGTATAGTCTTGACCAGAACAAAGCCAGGGATGCATCCTGACGGGCCACAACGAGGACTAGGAGCAATCAATCAACTTCCCATCGATTGGCAAAGCTATAGTGTATTCTACCACGTCGCCTTCTTTTTTCTTGATTCTACGAGTACAGTGTGCGAGGGCCCAGCACGCGTGCTTTATCCCTCTCTGCCTATTCTCCCGGCTTGCCACATGCTGCGGCTGAAGTAAGTCTTCTAGATTTGATGTCTTTGCCCAAAACGCCCGCCGCCACGTATCATCCCTCAGAGAACCATAGGCGACTAGGGGACTGAGAGAGGAATGTGCCACAAGGTAAACCATCCGTGCCACTTCACCGCCATTGGAGCTACGTAAGGGGTTTTCACAAGACGCGGCCGGAAAGGTGGCCCTTAAAACTCTCTCGCAATGATCTACCTACTAGTAACGGTCACACTACAATTGCGAGCCGAGGGATGATCAGTGTTCAATGCGCCAAGAAATAAATAAACAACATTCCCCCAGTTCTTTTAACGAAAAGCTCGCTTCGCACTCTTATCGCTAACCTTTTCAGTCTTGATTGATTGACTCACGGGGGTTCAGGATCATACCAGCCTTCGTTTTCTCCATCCCCATTAATTGGTACCTAGCCGCGCTGTGGAGCGACACGTATGCCAACGCGATCTCGATGCTGCTATGATGGGTGTAATGGCCGTCTGAAAACACATCGCCGAATTTTTTCTATCTCCGCACTGAGACCAGCAGAACCGAGGGGCTCCGACACGCCGCACAGATGACACCCACCCTCACACTGCTACCTATATAATACCCGGGATATTCAGCTGCACCTGGATCGTGGAACCACTCGTTCTATGGGAATCTTGGGGTTTGACCCTCCTGCACAGCGCATGGTATGCACCATATCGGTCGCAACCGAGTCTGCGGGCGCCGTGCACAGGCGTCTTGTGTAAAGATGGGTCTCATCAAGGCACAGGCAGGTGCACATGCGTTCGCGGCGCGAGAACCCCAGTCATCTCCAATGAGTTGTCTCTGCTGACGACATATAAAACACTTTGCCCTTGGTTCGTGGAAAACGATGTCGTGAGTCCAGATGAAACCTCGTATGCAATACTCGAGCTCGTACAATCGCTTGCCGGTTTCCTGTGCACCACCGCCTGAGCATTGGCGGTCTCATTTATTGGGTTTGGACTCACTCTACTGCGTATTGCCGGTTTCAAACACGCCCTTTTTACTGTGCACTTGTGCGCTGACGTCACTGGCGAGATTTAATCAAAACCACATGTCAATATTTGCTTTACGCAAACCCTCTGCTACCTACTTCAGGTGAGAGCCCTTGCGGGTGCATCATCGACCGATCCTGGTGTCTTCGGATGGATTTGAGTGACTAACCGCTAGCAATATATGCAAACTGAGAGACATGCCGTTTTAAAGAGAGTACATAGATGGAGACAAGCAGTTATCAACTCGTATTTCTCTTCATTGCTCACGGACTCGTTGTAACACTGAGCGTTCACGAATTATATTGTCAAACCTATCCCTTATTTATTCTTCCCATTTGCCTGTTAAGCCCCCGTCTAGAGCCGTGGTTGGTTGGTCCTTTAGGTACTTGGTTTGTAGGAAACCTCCTCCAGCTCTCCACGTGTCACGATACCACAAACAAAGGGGTAGTCTAGTCTGTAATGGTTTTTGTGAGGTCATTTATGGTTTTTGCCCCATCATGTTTGTTTTCTCTTCTAGGAAGCTCCCTTAATGATCCTCCATACGCTATCACGTGCTTAGTCATACGATCGAAGCAAGTCTCGATTGGTCTAGTGGTGAGGATACCTGCTTGTCATCAGCATCTTAGTGTTCCCGAAAGTGGAACGCAGGAGCCGTTAAATCAAGCCGCAGGTGGCCGGGGTTCGATTCCCCGATCGAGAGGTCATTCATTGCGTCCATTTTATATTTATTTAATTTTTTTATCCTGCATCTGAACCTTCCTTGTGTTGGTGGCTCTTGTGCGTGTATTGCGGAGGGCAATGGAAAACTCTACTTACGCTAGCTCCTACCTAGAACGCAGACAAAGAAAGACTATGTGCATCAGGAACGACTTCTATAGCAAACGATAGGATTAGTCAGTGACCAAGTTCTATATTAAGGTGGGCGACTGTAAATAGCTGTCCACAATTCATAGAGAGACTACAGCGCCCCTACACTAGGAGATAGGCCGAACCTACACTTCCTAGCATAGTCATCACTATATTCTCATGGGAAATCAATTGATCAAGTGTAGGAAATAAGAAATATGAATTCATTCGCAGTCGTAGCTATGTTGTGCATGTCCCCTTCCAAAAAAAAATGGCATGAAAATCAACGCCCATGGTGTTGATATCCCATACGAGTAAAGCCACCAAGTGGCTCATGCATGTACTAAACCCCTGTAATCCACTCACACCGCTTCAATATGAATTTTCTAAAGCTACGCTTTAGTATTCTACGACCCCTATCTATGCAAATAATCCTTCCTATGTTATAAGACAATTTTGAAGAGACACGGTGCCACTGATAATGTGAAAAGTGTCATCGCAACAGAGAGCATGAAATGAGAACTTGACGCCGGCTAACTGTTACGTCCCTTTTTTTTTTCAATAGCAAATGATAGCCCAAGGCCATGGTATTTGCTATTGCAAGGATAGATTGCTAGAATAGCTGTATAACTGGGCTAGTATGGCATTAGCCTAGTGTAATGGAGATTGTCATACAGAATAAAGTCTCGGGCCTAGCTATTCAGCCCTTGCTTAAGAATGAGGTATACAAAGGGAGAAGGGATAGCCGGCTTCGGCCTAGGCTAGGTTAAGTGCCTTGATGTATACATAGCCTTTGTATTTCCACTTTGTTCCTCGAAGGGTAAGTAACCTTTTGCACCCTAGACAATTACTATTAGATCGACTAGTAAAGCTTCGTTATATTAGATGTTTATTACATGTGTTAAAAGAAACAAAGTGAGTAAGTTATACGCAGGGGTACTCACCTTGCCTTTATGCAAGGAGATAATAGACCGAACCTAGGTCTCCCTTAGTCACAACAAAACTTAAATTGTGACAGAAAAACAACACCGTTAATCTTCCAATAGGATCAACGGTAGTGTTGCGATACATATATAATAGCTGCAAACACGTCAAGCGCCCCTTTTGTTAGTAGTGTTGTCGTATCGTGCTCCAGTTCTGTTCTGTGACAGGTAGAAAGGCGCGCCGCTCCACATCAATTAAATCTAACTGCTTCAAACTAGATAAAAGAGTACTAATAGTAATTTACACGAGAGCCCTAGCTAGGTTAAGAGGTATTGGCTATATTGTAGACTTTCATCGTGAAATGAAGTGGATTGGTTGCAACTGTGGAAACATAACTACTTTGTGGCGATGAAGTCTAGTGTATGGTCAATAATTACCATAGGTTCGGCTAGTCTCTCTTTACAGATAATCACTACATTCTCTTTTAGTTGGTTAACTGTGTATGATATTTTGATTATCTAGTTACCCAATTCAAAATTCCTGTAATTGTACCTAGAAGTATAAATTTAGCCTATCTCCTTATAACTATGAGGGCAAGGGTGAGTACCCTTTCATCTCAGCCTACTCACACCGCCCACTTCAATACACAGACTAATTGAATCTTTAATTCGATCGACTTGTTATACCTGACGTGTAGTGTGCGTACTTTCTGTGCTGGTTATGGCATTGTCACATAGCGGAAGAAATTACATTCTCCGCCGCAAGCTGCGTTACAACCGGGCTAGCCTTGAGGAGACCGCGGAAATGGCTGCGTCCATACTTGGTCTTAGTCTACTGTTTAGGTTTGATATTGTCTAGGGTTTCATCATAAGTTGGGCATTTTGGATTGGGAGCCAAGGCTGCTGCTGTGGATACAAGATTAACTTTAGAGCGTAATTGATGTGAAGAGGGTGGTCGTATGGGCAAAATTTAGCAGGATGTTGGGTTGTCATACATGGTGCAGAATGGAGTGTGGGAATATTGAAACCTATATTAGATATGTCTGCAAAGTGGAATAGTCTGCAAAATTTGCCCTTCTGCCTATACGCGTGGCCGAAGCTCCTCATCAGGGATGAGCATGCATTAGGTGATGTGAACTATTCTTCCTTTGGTAGTGTTAACTATATCCATCTAATGTAGCTCAAATACTAACAGCCTGCGTGTCCAAGCCCCTGAGTTTGGAGCGAGATGTGAAGTATATATGCCTTCATCATACGATTCAAAATATTCGGACTCAGACTCTACTTCTTTATCTGAGTTGATTATACTGTATTGGAAAAGCTACAAATAGATGCAATGAAGTGAAGTCACTCACAATATGGTAGTGCCTCCTGGATGGGCTTTTGTAGAGATAATATCATAATATATTTCACTTTCTCGTTGAGACCATAGCTAGTAACCCTATCTTTATCGTTGTCGTGAGCGAGCTGTAAGGCTCGTATGTTGGATATAATAGTTCACTTATAATAGTATTGCTATTCCCTTAAATATGATAGCTTTTGTAGATCGGAGCAAGTGATGAGAAGAGCTAATCGCCCCCCTGAACCACTCAGCCATTTCTAATTGAAAGAAGCTCGAGGCTTTCGCCTTTCCCCCAAGGGATAATGATTTGATAATGCAAGACTTCTTACTATCCATCTACGACGCAGCTGGCTCCTTTCACATACTTGAGGAAAAGTCGAGACCAGCATTCAATATGTATGTCTGAACAATGACATTCAACACATCATCTATCTCGAGCTCCTCTGCCGGATTCATCTGCCCCATTGCTGCAAGCCCTTTATCTTTCTTGCAATACTTCTCGTCCCTGAAAGAAGGACTATTGACTTGACCCACCAACTCAATCAACTCTTCTAGCCTAGGTCTGTTCTCTGAATCGACAGCCAGACACAGCTGTATCAGCAATCGTAGATCTTCGTCTAGATAAGGATGAACACTTGTGTCAATCATATTTATCTGGCATCTAATGACGAAATCCCCCACATGCTCGTATCACTACAATACATTAGCTTGATCAAGCCCTATCCACATTGATCGTGAGAGGGTCAAGTCAATGCTACTCACAACAGAGGAAGATCGACAAAAGCAGCCTATTAGGCAACAAGAATGGTCTCTCTAATCACCCCTGCCATCTCCGGAAAGCTAGCCTTGACAATGGACCGCCTAGACACCTGCCGAACATCGATCGACTTCACGACGCGCAGTAGCATTCCACTAGTAGCTACAGTCGCCTTCTCGACCGCGAACCTGAACTCATCGATAAACGATCCCCTCGCGCACTGCAGCCAGTCCTGCCATACCGCACCGCCTTCCACTCTCGAATCCCGGAACGGAGCGCCTCCGGGCCGCCGGGCGCAGTCGCGCATCCGCCAAACAGACTAAATAAGCCTCTGCCGCCTCTCCCATCTCTCCCAAATATGCCCCCACGCCCACGCCCACCTTTATTACTGCCACGCCCCTCCTCCCCCGAAGATGACCAGTCCGACCAAGCTGCCGGGCTGACGAATGGATTCATCCAGGGCGACGTGCCAAAGGAATCAGGACCTGCCTCCATCACAACCTCTACCGCCAGGGGGCGTTCCCCTTCCCCCCCCTTCCCCCCCTCCTTCGTCCTGGTGGGGAGGGTGTGGATGCGCCTCTGCCTCCTCGGTCCCTGCGCGGTGGGGTGCTGAAGGGGTTGCTCTTGCCTTGTTTGGCGGTGCCAGGGTGGATTATCCTCAATTATTTGCCGTGGATTCGACGCGGGGCCGGCTTTTGACAGCGGCTAATTATTCGCCGGCATTTGGCGTAGGATTATTCAACGTCAAGCATGTGAGATTTGAGCCGAAAGAGGAAGCTGCGGCCAGCGAGCCGACTTCATTATCTTTGCGAGGCAGAAAGGGTCACAGGAGCCGTTTGGGCCTTTGTTGATGGACTGAAAGCACCCAGAATCCTAAACAATCGAGGTCCCTACCAATGAGGGCAACGTGATATCGGCGCAACGATGATCAATTATGGGGATATGTTCACGCCGGGGATGCAACCGCTGGAATACTTGGACGGGTGCTGGCTCGCATCTCGTAGGCAGTCTCATTTACCCCAATTCAACTTTACTTTCTAGTGTAATCAGGTTTTCGCCGTTGCCCGAGCTAATATCATTGGCTTCACAGTTAACGAAAATGTATCATTGACGTATGAGACGGTATCAATCACATGGAGTAGGTCCCTGCGTGGACCCTCTCTGGGTAATTGACTGGCAAGGAAGCCTCCAAGGAACCACATGCTGTAGCAGAAATCAATTGGGTTGTTTCTCTTCTATTTCCTTTATTGGTATTTTCACGGGGCACAGCCTAAGAGATTTCACTAGCAGCGCTCAGCTGTCACGACGCTGTCACGACGCTGTCACGACGACGTCACCGGCTTTGCGTTCAACAGGGTCAGCTTTGATCTCGATCTTCAGGGAACACTTTGATAGGCTTAGCTAGTTTTAAATCGCCCCCGTCTAGAATTCATCAACTGAGCGTTTCATTTCTCAAGCTTCTATCATCTACACGTATTGTTGACCGGGGTCTCTCTTTGTATCGTAGCATCAGGTAACGTTGTAATACAGTAAGCTCCTATGAGGTAGACCCTGTCCCGAGGCTCGCCCACCTCTCCAGAAAACGACCTCACCACCGTCCCACCCGATGTTGATATCCCGGTTTATTGAAACCGATCCATCCATAAACTTGGTACATATAGCTCTCGACGGCATAATGAGGAACGCTCCTCACGCCTGGAGCCAATCAATCGATCAACCAGTCTGCAATCTTTTCCTCAGTCGACGTTGACACGAAGCATAGTTCCATTGGCCTCTGACTTGAGTCTTCCTGAGCAGCCGCAACATCTAATTATAGACCAATCCAGGTCGCA